GCTATTGTGGGGGGATGGTTGTATGCCCGTGGCGCATTTCATACATCCGAGTGTAATGGTAACCAGATAGAGAGGCGCCGCGCGCGGGGACCATCGGCCGGCGTTAACACCCGGTAAATACCAAAAATCCAGGCCGTGCGTCGCGCCGCGCGAAAAATCCTCGCGATCCCGCGTATATACGAGGTTCCTCACCCTGCTCTTCCCGTCCGTTTAACGGACCTCGCGAGAGCTTACTTCTCGTTCCCGCCTCCGCTCTCTTTACCCACCGATCTCTCTCTCTCTCTCTCTTTCTCTCTCTCTCGTCTCGCGTCTCCAGGGACGCGGGATTACCCCTTTTTTTTCTACACCCCTCGCTCTCTCTCTCTTTCTCTCTCACGCGACGTGACGTGCCGAAACGTGACATGTGTCGATGGTGCACAGTGGTGTACGCGAGTGCGAGACACGGCTCCCGAACCGACTTTGCGCCGCGTCGCGTATAGCCGCGGATATTCGCGCGGTCGTGTCCGTGCGTGGCTGCGTTGGTGCGCGCGCGCTCGACCGAGTGATCTGTGACGTCAGTGGTCCGATCGGTTGTCACCTGTCAAGCCGATGCCGACGTGTCCCTCCCCTCGCCCCTGGCTATCTCTCTCTCTCGGTCCCCTCGGCGTCCCTCCCCTCGCCGCCAGCCCCCCCCCTCCGTCCGACTGTCTCTGTCGCGCCACCCCCTCCCCCTCCCCAGCGATGCAACCCGCGAACGCAATCCGATCCGCGCGCCGCGATCTCTCCCTCCCGCATCCATCCTCGCGCAATGTCCCTTCTCGGTTTGACCTACGCGATCGGCCCCCTCTCCCCGCCGCCGCCGCGTACAACCCTCCCCCCCCTCGCCCCTCCCCCGCAGGAATTTTCTCCCTTCTTCCGCACCCACCCTTCGCTCGTTTCCTCCTCCTCCTCCTCCTCCCCCGTCATTGTGCCAGCTTCCATCCTCGACCCTCTCTCGCTGCATCTCGCTTCTTGTCAGCGGCTATATGCCAATGGCGCGCGATCTCAGGCCCTTTCTTTCGCGGTCAACCTCGCGGGAGTCGTGCCGCCACGTACTCCGCGGGCGCGTCGCGCCCTAATCGGTCGTTCGGCCGCGCGACAGTTTTGCGCGGGAGCGATCAAAGGGGGCAGCCGGCGGAGCCGCGCCGTCGCCGGGACATCTCGGCTCCTACCCGTTCCCACGTTGGCTACGCCACTGATCGGAATCGCGCGATATCCATCCCTTTTCTCTTTCTTCTCTCTCTCTCTCTCTCGCTCTTTCTCCCTTCAGCGTTCCCTTGCGATTCTCTCCCGCCTCCCTTTTCCACCCTTTCCCGGCGGCAGCAGCTTATTCACCCTGGTCGCCTCTCTGCCGGCCCGAAAACCGAAGCCTCGGCTTCGAAGCTCGAGCGCGACCACCACCACTACTACCACCACCAGTAGCGGCAGCATCAGCAGCAGCAGCAGCAGAAGCAGCAGCAGCAGCAGCACCGCCGGCACCGGCAACCCCACCCCACTTACCACCCGCCCATCCACCCCTCGATATAACCCCGCTCACTCCATCCGCCGCGACGACCGCAGACACAAAAACAATAACAAATCGATTCGCGGCAGCGATGGCGGCGGGGCGAAGGGGGAAGGGGTCAGCGCGAGGGGTAGGACGACTGCCGAGGCCCCCGGCGCGATGCGAGGGAGAGGGCACGCGCGCGTGCGACAGAGAGGGAGAGCGGGAGAGAGAGAGAGAGAGCGAGAGAGAGACGGGGCGGCGAGGAGAAACGTCCTCCCGTCGGCGGTACCCCTCCACCCACCCCCGGCCCCCCCGTATCTCTTTCCCTCTTTCTGGATATTGTATAGAGAACGTTATGCTAAAGTATGCATGCACGAGGGTCGGTCCAATGGTCAGGAATCTCGCGAGTTCGTTCGCTCTACAGCGGCACGTATCCGGACCCGCGGCACTCGTTTCTTCATCTCGGCCCCGGTGCTCGCGGATCCGCGTCGGCGACGCCGCGTCCTACCTCGCGTCAATCGTCACCACCGCCGCGTCTTCGTCCACGTCTTTCCCGGCCTCGCCGACGTCGATCGTCATGTGTGTCGCGCGGGAGGAGGCGGTGCTAAGCCGCTGCTACGCGCGTGAACCCTTATTCGATCGGTAAGGTGGAGATCGGCCCGGCCTTGCGGCGGCGGCGGCGACGAGGGGGAGAACACTGGCGGGGGATGATTCCAGCGTAATGACGATCGGCCCGAATTGTTGCGGTAGGCCACCATAGGGGCGCCCCCCCGCTCCACGAGATAGGGGGGAACCCCCTGGATATTCTTGCCATTTTCGCGTGCGACCCTTTCGCCGTCCCTTACCGTCCCGCATTTGAGACGCGAGCCGCCAACGCGAGAGGCTCTTTCGCCGATCTCTCCGCGGCGCCGCGGCGCGCCCGCGACAAACTCGCTCTCCTCTCCGTTTCTTCGACGAGTCTCTGAAAGCGCGAATCGGCGCATCCGCGTACTTTACCTCCCGCGCCATCCAATTCCGTTATAATAACGCGCAAAGATTTTCATTTGGAGGAGATTAATTAGCGGACCAGCTTGCGGGAACGGACGGTCCATTTTCGCAGTCGGAATCGAGCACCCTGATCCGATCGGGAGGGCTGCTCTCGACCGCCGAATTTCTGCTCGACGCACGTGGATAAAGCTAGTTTTGTCCGTTGAGACTGTAGAGAACGTTCCTTCAATCGTGTCCACTTATACCAGTATAGATTTCGCTTCAATCTCGGCTTAACTCTATTAAAAAGAGATGAGCGGTAAGTTTAATCGCTACTAACTTAAACCGAGATTGAAGTTGATCCGCGCCGATGGAAGCGAACATTGGGGACATTTCGTAATGTCGGGTGCAACCGATACGTCACGAGAATGCCTCGAGCTTCAGTTTCACCCCCGTCTAATCGAAGAGACGTGGCCTACGACGACTGGCACGAGCGCGAAATGATGCACGAGGAGGCGAGCACGCCTGAGGAAATATAGATCGAGCTATTCCGACGGTACCAGCGGTATAGATCCGCGTAGAAACAACCTTGCGCGAGGGTTGCGTCTTGATCGGCGGCGTGAAATATTTTGAGAAAAGTCGATGCGCGACTCGCGTTCGGGGGGTCGTGCATTTTCGGCAAAGCACTAAGAGAGAGAGAGAAAAGAGAGAAATGAATGGGAGGGGGAGAATTTTAGGGAGATAATCTTTCGCCGCGCGACACTTTCTTCCGCTTCGAGCACGTTTGACCTCGTAACTCGAATTACCTACTCGAGTTCGAATTACCCTCCATGCTCCATCGCCCAACGCCTCTCGACGTGCCTCTGAAATGTCTTCGTCCAACGTGCGCAATTGTTGACGGATACTCGGGGAAATAGCTGCAAAATTGTTACCAAGTTATCTGGGGACAACTGTTTGGACGATTTTTTTTAAATGACGTCGGTTAACTGTTAACTAGAGTCCAGCCAACTCCCCATCTTTTTCTATCTTATTGTCTAAGAAGAGACAGAGAATCAATTAACCGTCGGTTAGCAGTTAACCGACGTTTGTGAAACTCGCCCTAAGGAGAGGTAAGTTAACTGATAGTCGAATCATATGTATGCCTTTGTTTTAACTGAGAAGAGATATACATATAATTTAATTATTAGTTAGCTTGCCAAGTAGGCCCTTAGGGCCGGTTGCTCCAACCTCCTGGTAAGTTAACTAAGGGTGTGTTCCCATTCGTTCTCAGCACTACTGCCAGTACTGGACGGCATTGCTGAATTCGGCTTCTGGGACAATCATTCCCGAATGCAACCCCAATATCCTTCGTAATAACATAACAGCTATTCTTTTCTAAATGCAGAATCCGCACCTTTTCCTTGATACTAAATGCTCAAGACTACTTGGAGTATACTGTCGGTAGTACCGAGAGAAAATGGGAACACACCCTAATAGTTAAATCGCATATGTGCCTTTGTTTTCTTTTTCTTCAAATTAAACAAAGATATGTTAATTTAACTATTCGCTAGCTTACCAAGAGGGTGAAAAAAATCGACCCTTAATCGAACGCACGCTGGAGCTCGATAGACAGCGCATATAGATAATGATTTTCCGTATAGGTAACAAATACTCGGCACGCTTGAAAATTGCACGTAAGTATTGATTCGAGGGCCACCACTAATCTCTCTCTTCTCGCCCCCTACCCTTCGCCCTTTTTATACCGTGCAGTCCATACAAACATAATGAGGCTCGAGCACCGTTTCCAAGCGATTCAACCTTTATTAGGTCCGGAATATTTTTCTAATTTTATATTCGAATCCTCTGCACGTAATCTCCGCGACAATTCAATCATACCGGGTGGATATCCCAGTAAATGCATCAAACGCCGGGGCAATCATTTTTTTTTTTTTAAGAGGGAGATTTATCAGGTTTACCTCACACGTGAGATTACATTTTTTAAGAGGCGAGCCAAAAGAGTGGACTCGCTCTATTTTAATCTCGTGCTCTCGAATCAACGATCAATTCCACCAAGGCGATACAGTTAAAACGTATAGTGAACAAAAATAGTATTTGCACGTCCAATCTCCTTTCGAAATTATTTTCCATCCGAAGGTATCGCTGCATAATGGTTTTCAAAGAGGGGAGCACATTTTTTTACGTGTATACATTGAATAAAGCGCTTTGCGCAGCAGCTTTTTTTTCCACATCGTATTAATCTCAGAGTGTGTTTGCGTGCAACTACTTGTTTTTCTTTACTCATTGCGAAATACGCATATCGTCGTACTCGTGGTTGCTATCAACGGGCAATCGTGACGCACATTCCAGATGGAATATGGGATCTGGAGTCTTCACGTCGCGGGTGAACTTTGGGGTGACCCGCGTCTCGCCCGAAGGCATCCGATTCTGCCTTCCGGCGCGACGCAGATCCTGCCAAGGGCCGCGTTCGCCCTGAGCGCTCTGCACCGGCCCGACATGCTGCCGCTGCCGCTGACGGCGGCGGGGCCACCCTACGTCCCGATGGAGCTGGTCACGAAACCGGCCTCGGTCGCGTCCACCAATGCCGAGGACGCCGACGACGCGGAGAAGAGCACGAACGGCGAAGACGAGGATCCTCCGCAGCGCGACGACAACGAAGGTAACATCGAAAAGGCCGATCAAAACGAAAATCAGGTAAGACAATCTCACTGTTATCTCACCGTTAACAACGTTGAGCCGAGAAGTCTTCGATGCTTGAAGCTAGTAGTCCTCGAATCGATCCTCTATCGAGCAAGAAAACAGAAGCGCTGATACAAAAGTAATTTATAATTTTGAAATAGTTGGCAAACAGTGTTGAACGAAGCTGCACTGTGAAATCTCTGATCGGATTTGGAAGCCTGAAATTTAAATCATGTTAGTTTAATGACGAATACGAGCACAGGGTATTCTGTGTTTTTTTTTACATGTACCGATCAGACTTGCGTGCCAAACGAAAGTAACGACAACGAAGATGCCGGTGACGAGAGCGATACTGGTAGCACCAACAGTTCACATCGATCGGCAAACAACAACCTGTCAATCGCGAAGCTTCCCGATCCGATGGCGTGCTTAGCCCTCGACAAGGTCGGTCTGCTGCGTTTTCCACACTGAACAAAAATCTGGTTGCATTAATTAGAAATCGGGTAGATTTAACCAGTCGTCTGTTAGAAAATGGACAAATCAGAATTTCTTTAGGATTTACTAGATGTGTAGTGAGGTCTATCAAATTTCTAGTAACGAAATATCGAGCCCTACCGCGGTAACTAGAAATCCAATTTGGTTTAACCAAAATACATTCTATCATACGCGTCTTGTTGATACAACCAAGGCATTTTTCTCGGTGTATATTTTCCAATGTATGAACATTTACTTGTTTGGCACATTCGAATCTGAAACCGATTCGTCGATGATTTTTGTAACGTGACGCAGCCGTATACGAATTGTGTATTGTTAATATCTTGTCATGAATATCCAGGAAGGAACGGTGACTCCTGTTCTAAACGGCTGGGTGCTGGGTGCTTACACGGCGATGCTGGGCAGACTGTCTGCCGCCACTGCGGCACTGGAGGCGACGGAAGTTCCCAATATTCCCTCCGACAGTGATTCCGAGAGCGAGCATTCATCCTACACCGAAAAGTACGGATAAAATTTGGCGTAGCCGCAAACCACGGTTACACTTAGCTTTTCTTCAAGATCATTTTCAAGATTTGATTTGAAATTTGGCAAAAAAAATTCGGAGCCAATTTGACAATAACAATACGTGGTTCAAGATCGAGAGGCAGCAGTCCGAACGTGAGCAGCGTTCATCGCGGCTACTCGTGCGGCTCCTGCGATGTGGTGGCACCGACGAGACCGGCCTTGAGAAAGCACATAGCCGATTACCATCCCGCTCTGTCCGGCACGGAGACCGGGGAGACCAAGAGGTGTCCGTCCACGGGCTGTGACTTCACGACGAGCAGTAGGTGCGAGATGGAGACGCATGTGGCGGCGCATGTGGCCCAGGGGATGACGCCTACGGGGAAGAAACGCTCGCTGGCCTTGCAGCGCGTCAGGTATAGGTACTCGAACAACTTTATATAATTATATTTATAAAATGTGTTTTATCGAGCAAGAGATCCTTTCGAATCTTTTATTCTTACCACGAGATGAAACTCTTATCCAGGTATAGAATCGGGTGTAGTTCCGAAAAGTACGTACCGCCGATTTTTTCGAAACTCAGTACTCCGACTGTATTTTGGCGCGCTGATTACGAATGTCATAGTGAAAATTGGCGACTACTTGATTTTCATGATGAAAACCATGAAAAACTCATAAAAATTATAGGTTTTCATCTCGGTATATACGGAAAATTGTGATAAATGTTTTAGACAAAAGTTTTAGATCTTACAGAGATAAACATTATTTAGGTTCTATACATTTTCATCATACGAATAACAGTTTTCGAGTAAATTGAGTTTAAAGACAGTAACAGTGTTGACACTGTTGGACCGTCCAATTCATGTAGGATTGTGTGTGTGTGTATGTGTGTGTGTCCTTAAACGAAACTATGCCTCACCAATTTAGCTGAAACTTATCAAGATTGTGCATTTTTGTCTGAAAAACACGAATCTGTAAGTTAAAACCATTAGTTGGCACTAATAAGAAAGTTATCAAGTGTTATCGAAATACTGAGTTTCGAAAAAATCGGGGGTATGTACTTTTCGGAACTTTATCCATAGAATCAATGGAATAAAAGAGAGAAATGTACATCTCTTTCTTCATGGGGTACATCGCCTTCTTTCAACCATCGTTTCGCAATGTTCTCAGGTACGAGAGGGAGGAGTATCGGTGCTCACTGTGCTCGTACGCATGCACGATCGAGAAGGCATTTCAAAGACATCTGCGAGCGCACGCGAGAGGCACCGCGCCGGAGACTAGGGTGAGTTGCGCCGTCTGCGGTGCCGACCGGTCGTCCGAGGTCGATCTGAGCAGGCACATGCGAAGGCATCGCGACGACCGATACTTCTGCTGCGATATCTGCATCTTCCGCACGGTGCAACTGAAAAAGGTACTTGAAATATTACTTGCTTTTTCATCAAAGACTGTCAATGTTAATTGTATCTCGGAATTTTTACAGCTAATACAGCATCGTCGCATGCACACGGGAGAGAAGCCGCATCTGTGCCCGCACTGCGCCTACCGAAGCGCACGTCGTGACAATCTACGCAGCCACGTACGGCGAGTGCATAAAAAGGAGAACCTCTATTGCGACACCTTCAGCCCGCGCGGCATGCTAATCACTCCCTCGCTGTTGGCTTCCTCGAGGGACACCACCGAACCCGATTTGGTACAGAGCCCGGCATCCTCGCCGTCCTCGAATCCGGACGCGACCAACTAGCGAAAACGCCCCCGAAGAACGAAGAGAAGAGCAACGGCTCTAAGAGACCTGCGAAAAGAGAAATCTGGGACTCGCCTGTCCTTTATACGTCCTCATTTTGTCAATACTGCGATCTAGATATATTAGAATTTACAGGAAGGCTTGTACAAGTGCTGAACTTGGCGGACAAACGAAGAAGAATCGCAAAATAGGATAAAAATTGAACCCCCCAAAAAAATTGGAAATTATAATTTTACCGAAAAGACAATTTAAGAAGTAAACTAGAAGCAGAGAGTTGAGATAATTTACGAAATTGAATAGAGAAATGAAGTCGATCGAGTAAAACGGATTGTTTCCCAAATCAGCATCGGCAAGGCTTCCCTCTTTTAGACGTTAGGAAACGTATAGATTATTGCATGCGAACGTCGATAATTTAATGTAACCTTTGAATTCTAACGAGATCTTGTATTAGCTATGTAAACGTCCAAGTGTTACATTACGTAGCCGATTCGATGACGATCGGTTGACAGCCCGTTCACGTCGATCGACGACGACGAACGGGAAAAGCTGCAAAATGGTGCTAAAATCGTAGATTGGATCATGGAGAAAGACTGAAAGTAGAAACGAATTCACGGCGCGACGTGACGTCCATCTCTTTTACGCTCTTCCCGCACTGACCGCCGTGACTAAAAAAAGAAAATAATAAAAAAGGAAATTACAATTCAGTAAAGTTTAAGACTGCAACTCTATGCTGTTCCGGGGATTCTCTTGCTAAACGTTTACGATATTTTATTGTTCTCCATTAACTATTGGATCGTTGATTAATTATACCAGCATCTGCAGCTTTAATTTTAATTTCATCCTTAATCTTTTTAGAATTTGCTACAATTTTAACATTTCACAAATTTATTTTAATGTTTTTTTTGCTTTGCGTACTACTTATGATCTTATGACCTGGTATTTAATTCCGAAATGAGAATTTTATTTTTAATATCGTTCAGGGGCAAACGATGATCACTATATTTATGCACTTCAACAGATTCGAGCAAGAGCTCGCAATACTCGCGTGTGTACCAAGGCGGATGCACGAGACTCGATCGAATCAGGCCAACGGTTAATGAGATCAATAAAAGCACCGAGTCACGACACAACATGTTGCGAGGACCCCGGCCGGGATGGAAAGGTGCTATTTTACGAAGATTCGTTTTAACGTTACGTGTCTAGTATATATAGTTCGCTCGCGCTGCACGAATCATCATGCTATAAGTACAATTGTTAAGTACTTGTTAACACGAATACATTGTTATCGTTGCCTGAGTTGCTGTTATCGGTTTTGTTAGTACGTTGTACTATTACGGACTAATAATACAAGAACGACGCACTATGATTATGCAAGTAAATTATGACGGATAGCGTAGTGTATAACGCGAGGTGAAGCCTAACGCGTTTTATTTTGCAGACGATGACGATCCAAGACATCTCCATAGAAAAGATACCATTATACTCACTTTACGTCTTTAAATTATACTAAAATTCTATTCGCTCTGTACAACACTCTATACAACGTATAGCACATTTTTTAAAAATAGCATAATTGTCATCTGCAAAGTTTAAGCTCGTTAGACGCATCCGTTCGCTATCGATATAAGTGTCTCGCGTACGTTTCTCTCTTTCGGATCCAAAACCATCCCCGACGATCGATCGCTTGCTCGTGCGAAGGGGGAGAAAGCGAACGAGATGAATTGTAATTGTCGGAAATATGTGTCAATTTTTAATGTATTATACAAATACGTTGTAGTCGATAAACGATTTTGAACGGCGTCTCACGTCAAGTGGCACGAAAGGATTCGTGCACCATGACACGCAAACGATGATTCGTCGTCTCATCGAGAATGACATTCTCGCAGAAGAATATCGTTCTACTATATAGACGCTATAGCCATTACTATACAATACTATGATAAACTACAAGGTATACGATGATGCGAAGCCGAAGCTGCACGGCATAAGGTTTCACTCCCCCGGCACATTTTAACGCTTTATATTCGAACGCATTGCGTTTGTCGAACGTTAAGTGAGTTCTTTTTCCCACTGGATTAACATTATCACTTGTACATTTAGCGACTGAATTTTTGTCAGCTCATTACATGTTCGCATCGGCGGTGTTATCTTCGCTAGAAGTATCGCGAGTAACGTAGATCATTCCGTGCCAAGTAGCATAAATTTTGAAATAAGCCGTAATTACGAGCGAATGTGATTTAGATTTTAATTAATTATATTACATAATTATATATATATTAAATATTAAATTATATTTTATCTTTTAGGTATACGGATGACTACTATAGTAGCCAAGATGATTACGATTATGCACGGAAGTTGGTAAAAAAAAAGAAGCCGTTTATTCCGGATTTTACATAACGATGTAGGCCCGTTCATCCGAAAGCAGATGGTTTAACATATACCGGGTGTGCGCTATAATTCACTTCGACTATGCCGAACGAAAATCATGAGTTATACATGCTGGTATACGTGCTATTTTGCTTTTGATATACATCGGTATATTTTATATTCGTGAAGCATTGCATTTACGGTGCAACGGGTTTCTCGACTTTTTATATACATGATTTTACACAAAGCGCTACCTTGACTGCTGTAAAGGACGACTTACTTTTCCCCATTTCTCGTCCGCGCATATCTACATGTCGTTTCGAGGATATGCCGAGCGCGCGTTAGCACATTCAGAATATTTATATCACGAAATAGTTTATCGGTGCGCGTCGCGACGCGCATAACTTACGATACCCATAACGAAGGAGGTTTCTTGTTAATTACACGTCCGCAGTTAGCGTGACTGGCTCCGTCCGCCGTTAGTATTTACTTGGAGTAATTGTTTATTTTTTATTTCGGTCAAAAGTCATAGCACAACTCGGATAAAGCGTTCCGTACGCCGTACGTCAGGGAAACGGTCGCCAGGAGTTTGTACATGTGATAGAGATAATGGAAAAGTTCCGCAGAGACGAAAGATTTGCGACATCAGTGCGGCTGACACGTTTTCTGGCGTTTCTCGTAGTTCGCGAAAACGTAGTTTTCCCGATGAGCGTGCCCGATGAGCGCCTAACGAGAACGCCTCATTTTATCGTATCGTCCGAGCGATCAGTCTCAGGTGCTACCGAGATTTATTCGCATTATTATAATTACGAGCTCATAACTGATAAGCAGCGGCGCCGTGCCGACATTACGAACAAAGAGAACAAAAAAATAAATAAATGCGTGCCAAAGTGACCCCGATTATAAGGGGATGAACGATGTTCTACGGAAGGAAGATACGCGAGGGGTGTGTAAGCTGCTCCGGATGTGAAACGTGCGACCAGATTTCTTCGTTTACGGACAGTCGCGCGGTTCGACTCCTTACGGTCTAGATTGAATCTCTGTTTAATTAGTTGACTTGTGAAGAAAGAGAAAAGAAAGTACCCTGGATACTAAAATCACTTAAACGTTCAGTGAGCATAACGCAAGCATAATTTTTTAGATAAACAGAAATACAATTTCAACATTTTAGTCGCATTATTGTAGACATCCTTTTTGTTTTAAGAAATTCTCTCCGTCTTTCTGTGTACTTGAGTTTCTTTTCCTCTGGGAGGTTTCACAAATTCAACGAAGAAGGCGAGTCTCGCAAAAGTCCGCAAACGCAGAAGGATTTCAATCTGATTGTTCGCTTCCGCGTTCGTTGCGAGCGTAAACTAGTTGTTACAATCTTTTAACTGTTGAATTTTTGCTGTAGCAGTAAGTGTCTTAACGTATACCTTATATAAACTACACGATAATATATTCTATATTAATGTTTCTTAGATTTAAATCTAACATACTGGACGGACGTGTCCACGACGAGTGTCGTCGCTTGCGCTCTCTTAAGTTCGAATTGAAATGCTCTCTTAAGTGCTCATTGTTGGAATCTGCGAAACAAAGCGACTCGGTTATTTACGTCGCGAGATCGTATCGACGACGTCGAGAGGATAAAGAATGAGAAGGTCAAGTGTTTCAATGTAAAGATATTAACCCGTGGATGACAATGTGGTTACTTGGAACTGATGGCATTTATCGAAAGTAAAATATTTCAGACTGGAACTTGGTAATACTTTTATTTGTAAGTGACTGTAATTATCGTATTACTACTTATAGAAAAAATTAACTCTGAAAGATGTAAACTAATTGGGCATTAATAGACTTTCTTATTCGGTAAGAAAGTTGCAAGGCGACGAAAACTTCATCGGAGAACGTCCGGCCGGTCGTCTTAAAAATTAATACAATCTAAATGTGATAATATATTTGCTATTAAATTATGACATAACGATTACATTATAATTAATTAACACTGCGCGAAAACGTACGAAGAACAAAGAAAAATAAGCAATTTTAAGAGTCCGTATACATTGAACGGTGGTGGCGTTACGAGGGTGATCTGAATATTCGAACTATGGCATTTTTTCTGCGAGATATGCAAGATCGGCTGAGCGAGTACAAAGCGATTAGAAAATCGACACTGTCGAGATCTGATCGAAATTAATACGAAAATAGATGTGTAATTTTTTATAGATTAGTTCTTTGCGCTAATCCTGTCCTTTTTAATGTCATTACTTCTCATGCCAAATTTTATCGTTACGTTTCAGGAATAACTAAGATAAATAATATTCCGTAATAAACGGAGAATAATATTAATAATTATCTAAGCCATAAAAAAAATGCCATATAGACAGTATATTTATATTATTCTACATTTTTCTTGTATTATAGATGTCATATCATTATTTTTATCTATGTATATATATATCTTTAATTAATTTTGCTGTTCTACAAATAATGCTCAAGCGCAAAGAATGAAAAAGTGAACAAATCACGTCACCCTTGCTGACTCCGACAGGAATTCGAATAAAAGTGCGAAGCCGCGTTTTGCTTGCCAAAAAATAAAGACTCTTGCGCTCTACGCATAATATATACACACAAATATATAATTATATATAAATGTACGTGTATGTGTGTGAGTGTGCCTAAAGATTTTTTCCTCGGATTAATCTCTTAAAACTTTCTATGTCATTGTCTTTCTCTCTCTCTATCTTTCTCTCTCGCTCTCTGTCTCTTTATCCTACGCTCTCGAATCACATGTTGCAGTCGTAAACGATTTCGAAGAACTATTATTGTAGTTTGACGATTTCGAATTACATGGCAGATTCACGATGCCTCGTATCCGTCGCCACGTGACCGGATTAATTATTAAAATCATCTTGTTGCGATATACATAATATTAATTTTTAATTCGATACGCTTCGCCTATATGCTAAGACTGTAATCATTTCTGTAATACGAATATTACAGAGTTGAAATATCTCGTGAATTTTAGAAATTTACTATTATTTTTTTGCACAAGTATATTCGTTAATATAATTAAGAGGTTTTCAGTACAAACCGTATATTTTTTTATTTGCAAAATAGATTGGTACGGGGTGTCAAACAGCTATTATTATTTGGATAAAAGCGAAGAGAGGAGATTGAATCGTTTATCTCAGCCCTTACCCGATAAGTTTCGCAAAACGATTGTTTCCCCTCGATTGTTATCTCTTTATTTCAATTAAGCGTGCAGAGAAGTATGTCAAATTACAAAAATGTTTTTGTTGCACACGGACCAACTGTCTCATATTACAAAGATAAGCGAGAAATCATTGCTCAATTGAAAATTACTTAATAACGATGATGTAATTTGATCGTCCATAGACATTCCAAAAATACATACATGTAGAAACGAGATCACACACGTCACTTGATTTCCGTCATGAAACTTTGCGCAAAATTGCGTTATCGGCTGAGGGCTGGTCGCATTGTTTAACGATTGTCTCTCTGTGTTCCAACATACTAGTAGATATTCCGTCGATCGTTCCTCTTTATAAAAACGAAAGAAACCTACGCAGCCGCTATGCAACGCACGCACTCGCGATTTCGACTCGGGACACCGCGAGCGATCTCACTCTTTTCTGCAAAGTATACGAAAGTAAACGCGCGTTCCAATATTTGCCTCAAACCCTCGAAAAATAAAGGCAAGGAAATCAGAGGCACTCCACACCGGATACTCGCCTACGAACTCGCGCTTGAATATTTTTTTACGATTTTATGGCCTAAGCATTCGGCGTCACGCCGAAAACGTAGGTACTCTTTACGGGTTTGCGCGACCGACGCGAGTCGATCGCGGTAAATTAATCTTATGACGGTAAGGGGAATTATATAATAAAAGCGAGTCGCTCCGCGGGAATATAATTTCCTCGTGTGACTCTCGATAGTGAATGATGATGATCTCAAAAATCATCTCAAACGTAAATATTCATTTTGTAAAATTATGTCAAGTTTTTCTCCCTTTGCATATTCTAACGTCTTTAATTTCTCTTTAATCGTCCTGTGGCAATTTTGACAGTTAAAATTCACGGAAACGTCCTAATGTCTGTTACAATTACCGTCCCAAGATCCATCGAGTATTTTGCTAATTACTATATAGTTTTTAACTCTATTACGCAACAGGTATCGCGTCGTTGAATATTCGCCAAGAGATCATCGGCAATCATCGAATCGTTTCGTCACGCGTTTTTATGTATACGACTGCTAAAACGTGTGTGCGTGCGTGCGTGCGGGCGTACCTGCTTACATGTAACGATCAATCTTAAGGAACTAATTAACGAATAAATAGTTAAACTTGTCGTCACCATTGTGATTTAAGATAGTAGAGATACCCACGCAAGTCGCTCGATAGTGCAGGTGCAACCGATAATGCTTCGTTCAAATGTTACATGCCCTCGAAATCTCATTCATTACTAGAATTGATTTAATCAAATCAACTAACGAAACGTCGCCAGTGTGACAGTGGTCGCATTCGCATAGTTATGGCACTGAGTAAATTGTCGTTCAAAAAATACAAATTATATTTTTATAGGTCAAAATATTATTTAACTTAAGCATTAATCTACATAAATTATTTTCCTTTGTATTTTTGTTCTGTGACATCAGAGCCATGCGTAATTTCGTTGCGGTTTTCAACTAATAATCTATGAAATTTTATAACAATATATTGTATGGTTTGCACCTGCATGGAGGACTCTCGCCGGGGAAACGTTTACCTGTTTGTATAGCCAAAGTCGTCATTTGTCTTTGGCATGATAAAAGTCTTAATAAAGGTTTCATTAAAATATTCTTCGTAGAACAATATCTCTCCCCGTACTATTATATTACTTCTACATTTCACACAATATAGGCAATTGCTGTTTTTCTTCGGTTAAATTTTAATTACGGTGATTCTTAATATTGCGATGTGCTGAATCTATAAGTTGCATTTACTTTGTTTAGGATAATTAATCTGGGATTGTAAGTAGATAGCAAATTGAATATTCAATCGCGTAAATTGTAGCAAAAATTTTGAGACTGTCATTCAAAAGAAATTTGATTGTTTTGTACAAAAGACTCCCGCCTAGAGTGCAGGGAAGTCCAGGTTCGAACCCTGGCAGAGGTAATATTTTTCGCAATAAATTTCCTTACACAGAATTTGCCAGTTAGCGTCGTGTGACAATTTTTCCACATTGGTTAATCATGTACTGGCGTCAAATAATTCTTTACGTTTTGTATAATGTTCACTGTGGAATATTTCAAGTTTGATATATATGTATTCTGCCTAGTGGTAGCTTATCGCGTAAATTCTGCTTTGTAGGACTTTGCAAACGGTTTCAAATGAAAATGAATAACACATTCCACGTGCAGTTGCATCGATGACCGTTGCAATTGAAGCCTGCGATGGCGTTGGCCTGGTCCCCTTCTCCGGAGTCTCTTTCCACCACCACCAAGGACCGAGAGGAGCAATAGCGATGGATGTGTAGGCAACGGAGACCAGGGAGAGTGGAGTCGCGTCAGTGCATAGGCACGAGCTGTGCCGTCGGGCGGAGGACGCGTTACTCGACCTCTTTTATCTTATCGTTCCTCACATCGTCTTTATCTTCACGCACATAATCGTAAACGTCGGTAGTTGAATGTGAAAATCAGTTATGTAGCCGGTAAAACGTAACTCGCAGCACCTCGTAGCTCGAGCATCCTAAAAATATACTCCGAAACGCCGAGCTCCACGAGGAGAAAGGAGAAGGTCTGCGCTCACAAACTGTGAAGTCTACAGTTCGTTTATTGTGCCCGTCGATGTGTGCGCGCGTTGGAGCACGCGCGCACGTCTTTCTCGGCTCGTTGTCGCGCGCGCGAAGTGTCTCTTTAACCCATTGAATACTCTCGGCCAACACGCACTAGACTCTCACTTCTCGTAAAAGCTCGTTTTTGCGCTGAAATTTCGATTTATTTGAATTAAAAAAAAGGATACATGTTGTGGAATTACTTGGATGAAAAAAAGAATTGTATATATTAAAAAATATATATCGTATAAAAATAATAACGCACTAATTATCGAGTGTTTCTCTTCGAGGGAAATTCGGTGTTTGTTCCTATTTGACAAAAGGTTTTACAAGTTTTCACCGTACTTCCGTGGAATGATTCATTCTTGTAAATACGTAGAATTTGCATAAACGCGAATGTGAAAACTTCCATGTAAAGTGTGTAATTATGTATGTGACCGCACGAGTAATGAGTCACGTGCTAATGAACAGAAATAGTGGACCCATATAATAGTGGACGGAATACAGATGAACGATCGGGAATTAGACGTGGACCCGTGTAGCTCTAGCTCGAGAGAAACTCCCGTTCGAAGAAAAACAATCGAAATGCTGTCTGCGATTTTAGATAGTGGACTCACTGCGAGAAAACGGGAGCGTTGATTCGAGAAAAGGAAGAACCGCAGGAAGGGACAACCGGTACCGCGACACTGACGTAGGTAGGTTTTTGACCCTGCGTGTTTCGTTACTAACGGACAAACGCCGGAATTCCTAATCCCCACGATGACCGTACGCCGTTCTGAAAGAAAAGAAAGAATATATGTAATTTTTAAATGCTCGTCTACATCCTCGAAAAATCAGCAACTTTTATTTTCATTCTGTCAAGAGAGCTCCGTCAATTCGTACGCAAATATTTCGCGTAGAAACGCAGACTTTCCGTCGGCGAGGCACGAAAGCGAGCGTCCACAGGTGTTTCTGACATAAGAATAATTAATATGCGCGAAGTGTCGGTGACGCGTTTGCAAGCTCCATTGTGGAGCCCACGTGATGCGCCATTAATTACACATCAATACATTCACTTTCTGCATAATGAGCTACGTACCTCAAAATATCAATTCACATTTTACAAACATCACTTTGCATAATTATACAATTTATTGCCCACCTAAGGTTAATATTAAGCTACAAACAATTGTTATGTTTGTAGCTTAATATTAGCCATTAAATAAAAGTTGATGCGCGAAAAAGTATCGACTCACGATATTTCGGGTGTCAATAGATTGCCATTAAAGCTCACCTTAATCGATCGCTTGTTGCTTCAACATTCTGTTCGTTTGAAGTTTGTGTTCTCTTATCTTGAGGAAGTTTCAACCTGTTAGAAGATAAGGAGTGACTTGTCGTTCGTACCGTATATCTGACGAGCAATTCGAGGAGCTGGTATGTCCAATAATCATGTAAGTTGATCGTGAATCATGATTTTCATTGGAAGCGGCGCGCCAGATACGCTTCTTTATTCCTCAACAGATTCTTCTTATTGTTAGCTTAGCACTGTTCGACATATTCCCCGGTAATCATTTTCTCTTCTCCTTTGTTGAGTAAGTTAATTCGTAATATGAGAAAAAGAGAGAGAGAGAGAGAGAGAGAGAGAGAGAGAGAGAGAGAGAGAGAGAGAGAGAGAGAGAGAGAGAGAGCACAATAGAATAAGTAAAACATGTAATAAGGTCAACGACATGAAACTCTGTATTTTAGACTTAATTAATTTTAAGCTGCATGAAGAACCACTCTTGTAACGTTCTCGTATAACATTCTTAAACGCATAGTTCATTTTGAGTATAACTGAAGATAATAGGCACAAGATACGATAATGCTCGATCTAGCGTAGAACTAAGGTACAGATATGGAACGATGAACGTAATACTCACTCGCCAGTCAGTTGAACTAGTAGCCGGAAACTATGGGCGTCGGTATCGGCTTTCGGAACGATGATTCACCCTGGGACAATTTATAATTTCCTTTCTGTTTGCGTCGCTCGTTTGTTTTGTCACGCACTCAGTGAGGAGACACAACAATTTGATTAGTCCTGGAAACAAATAATAGACGAGACTTGGTTAATATAGCGGCTAACGCAGAAAACGCGCTTTCCATTTGAGAAGCTCTAGAAAGCACTTCTCTCTTACGAGAACTACAGTTTCTGAATCAGAAAAAAATATTTAACAAATAATCGTTAAGTGTATTAGGTGTACAAGTGAATAATCCAAATTTTTCAGCTATATTTAAGATTTATTTTAAAAGAAAGTAAAAGAAATTTGTCAATCAAAGTATCGCCGTTGCGTTCTATAACTTTAAGCCGTCTGTCATAAATTCCATCTCGGAAAAATGTTGTGTACTTAATATTATAGTTGTAACATTATAGTAATAATATTATAGTTGTACACCTAATATTATATTATAGAATCATCCGCTTTTATTATTAGCTGGATTACTAATTGCTATCGTGTTCCTAAATATATTTAGACGACCCTGATAAATTACGAGAAAAGATTTCCAGTTTGCGCTCGCATTAGTTCGAGTCGCGAAGAGTCAGAGCAGCTTTTATATGTCTCAGGATCAATGGGTTAGCATCGGAACGTACCATAGTTTTATTTTACTGGAACGATACCACGCAGTGGAGGAATCAATCTCCGGGATGGAGGTGAAGCCAATACCAAAGCCGCGAACGGTAGTGACCGAGAGCAGACCGATACCGGCGCCTCGGAGACTCTTGCCGACGACCACCTTGCCATCGACTCATTCCAGCAGTCCGACCAGCGAATCCAGTCAATCTGAAAAGAGCGACGATGTAAAGTCAACCAGCAGTGCCAGCAACGAGAATACTCGCAGTAACCACGAGTTCTTTCGCAACCTCAGTACAAGCTCGCGCCAATTGAAGGATGAGATCTCGGAGAAGATGACGGTGAAGGGACGCGCTGTGATCTCCAGCACGCGGAACGCCAGCATTCGGCTGGAGAAGTCGGTAAAGAATCTATTGTCTCGGCGGCTGTCATCCTTGAACCAGGACGACGTGGTCGGCCAGGGCGGCGTCCAGAAAAAGCTCAAAGACCCGGTTGAGGAGGATAGATGCGTATCCATGCCGGCCGACAACATCTTCAGCAGCATCTCATTTTACAGTCCTCTGAGCGGCAATCTGAGGAGCATGAAGAACGAGGAGGATCTATCCACCGGTGGCAGGCACAGTCCGCCGCCTCCAGTTTATCCGCCACCCCCGCTTCCGGACGAATCTATCTACGACGAGCTGCAGTCCGTCACGTCGGGAAGTAGCGGCCGATACGACACACTCAGTTCTACGGTGTCCGACAAGATTGAGCGAGATTTTCCCGACTTCAACCTCAGCCTTGCGCGGAATCAGGTAAAATCTCTCCTCTTTCAAGATTCTGCAATGAAATATTACTATTGTCATTCTGCGATGTTGTTATTCTCGATATTATTGCTAGAACCGATTTTGTCTTTGAGCGTTGGCGAAATAGAGACTCTTGTAAAAATTAGAATTGTCTCGTGTAATTTGTGAATAAATAAAATCTCACCCTTCTTAAATCTCTCTTTCTCGAACAGGCTAGCGATTCTGACCAGAGTCTAAACTTGTCCGATGTCAATGTAAGTCTATCGCTGGACAAGTCTGAAATCTCTGCCAAAAGATTGTCGAGATCGGACTCGTGGACCTTTTACGATGCCACACCAGGCACGAGAGCTGAGAATGTCGACGAAGTGGACAGGATATCCAGCGTAGAAAAGGAAAGCTTGGAGAGATCCTTCGAGAGAAAAATTTCGCCAGTAGACCGAACTTCTTGTGCGTCCCTCGAGAGCCAGGCTTCTATCCAAAATTCTCTCTACGAGAATCTGTCGCCACCGAAAGTTGATGGTCGGAAAGAATCGGAACCTACGGCGGTTCCGCCCGACACTAGATTTCAGAGCAGCAAGTCTGTGCTCTTTGAGTTCGATCCGTTCGCGAGAACGTCCGAAGATGAGAATGTTTATAGCAATTACGAGAACAATGATATGATGCTGCTGGAGACCCTGTTGGCTACCAATGATAGCGCCGACAGTACGCTGGAATTTCATGAGAGCGCCGAAGAGGAGCAAGAGGACGAGGACTTGACGAATTCTGCCGTCAATGTGACACCTCCTGAACCACCCAAAAGATTTGATTCCCTTCCCAAGAACGAGTATGACGTGGCGGAAGGCGTGGAGCAGCCCGATAAGGTTCAAGCCTCGGGTAAAAATCCGCCTCTCTTGCCGAAGCTGGCGCATTTGGTGACCAAAAAGCAACCCGCTGTTCCTCCAAGGAAGCCTTCCATGAAGGCTCCTCCACTTCCTAAACCAAATGCGAATATGACGGTGACAACGACAACGACGCTTGCCAATAACGACGAGGAGAGTGTTACCAGTTCTTCGTCGGAGACGCCAAAGCTTACCGAGGATCATCGCAAAGTGAGCGTGATACAAAAATTGAGGAAACTAGGACAGGAATCCACGGTGCACGCCATCAAGCCTAATGTGATCAGTTTCGTTAAGAGTGGTAGTAAACTGTTGGGCAGGACTCGTGAGCATATTGGTGAGTCCGGTTCGAGGTCGCTACGAATGGAGAGGCCGAAGGTGAATGCTCCCTCCAATCCGGTCACACATAGGGGACTAGTGTACAGGTAAGAGTCAATATGGGCTACGCAAGAAATATATTTCACGAGCCTCTAATCCCGAAACTTTTTTTACAATGCTGACAAATCAAATACACAAATTTGTTTTTAATAATTCAACGAGAATTTTATGATTTATAAAATTAAAATTATTCCGTTTAAAAGTTGTCATTGTTAAAAATGTTTAGAAGCGCTTAAAAAAATATATTAAAGAGATTTCAAAGATTCCTCTCAATAATCGATTGCGATTAACGTTTGAATAAAATCTATCGTTTAAACTGAGCGACCGCATTGGAGTATTAATTAGAAATATCATTATTTCCTGTGAAGGCCTGGAATGGGTATCGAGAGGGCCAAGGACCTCGTGCTGAGAGCGGCAGTGTTGCTCGATCGGAAATTATCGTTCTACGCTGACAAGAGCATGTCTACGCTGAAAGAGGTCGTGGAATTAGAGACAGTACACAGTATTCATCTGCTTCAGGATATCAAGTGAGTCTATTTTACTACGCAACATGTATTGTTATAATTTTTATGATTTTAAACATTTCTTTGTACATTCTTTTTCAAAATTTACTTTTATTCCATTATTATCCAAGATTACTTTTTCCGATTTATCAAAATTAAATAGTAAATATATTTATTGTACAGAATAATTCAGATATTCTACGTTTTCTCTCGGCTATAAATGTTGGAGAATATAATTTCGATTCGTATTCAGTAGCTTATCGAATAATAAGGTGACTCACTCGTTGGCATATTTACATCGACCCAACTCCAAGTGTTAACGCCGGGCAGACGGTCCCCTAGGCTTACACACAGCGCGCTCTCTTTCTCATTCTACAAGAGAGATCTCAAGGTCCTCTTTGTTAAACGAGAAGAAAAGGATCTTATGAGAGAGAATCGTCTCTCGAATGTAACCTGATAACAATTAAAGTATTATATGTAAAATATATCATTTAATTATTACACAGATACTTTTAAATATCACCAAGCAAAATAAAATAATTTATAATTGTATAATACATGTTGCAATTATACTGTATCGTATACAGTGCAATAATGAATTCTTCCACCAATCTTTCCTTAAAAAATTATCCAACTCTTGGTGCAACAGCATGATTTTTTATAAATGCGCAGTTTTATTCGCCTCGTATGCCAATGCGTCTAATTTGTATTTAACTCTACATATCTTTACTTCCCTTTGACTCATCATACGATTGGCACATCAGCTAGCTCGTCAGCCGGTCACTCGCGATTACTTGATGAAGACAATTTCGAAATGTGTGCAGGACCATGGACGGTGAGACGGTCCATTGCATCGCGATTAGCGGCACGGGCAGACCGAGCGTGCACATTTTCTACGCAAAAGGTATCGCCGAGAGACGAGTCTGGGCCCAGAGAATCCTCGAAGCGACCATACCGATCTTCTTCACCAAGCACACTGCCGAATTCACCAGAGCAGGTTGGGCTTACTTAAAGGTATATATAAAAAGAAGTAAGGTAATAAAATCAATCTTTGAACAGGAGAGTAACAAAAGTATTAAAATGATAATAAAAACTAGCGTACGAAAATTTCTATGTGCAATTAATTCCTACGAGTTAATCACTTTCGTATTTATTATGTGCCACAATTTTATATTAATCTATTATTGTAAATTTGCAAGCTTACCTTAGTATTTTAAGGTACGTCGAATTTGATATCTATCTTCGTTAAGCATTCTTTTATTATTATGTGTTAGCATTCTTTTTAACCGCAAATGATTAACAATTATTTAAGAGAAAATTATATTGATATAAAAGTTTGTAATAATACTTGTTTCAAGATACTAATATGATGATGTTTTACAAAATCCTGGATGTTTATTGCTTAAACGTTCGCGCTTGCGAAAGCGGAAACCTATATGCTTTGATATGCAAATTCCTTCTCTACAGTTTCGTGGACGTTCTGAATATTTCACGTTCCACTGCCATTGTGCAACATTTATATTACAACAGAGATATATATATATACATTTTTCGCCTTTCTTCTCAGGATCTTATGTCCTTTATATCCCTTTAGGAAGGTGTGACAGGTACTTGGTTCCCAGCTTGGCTTCTTTTACAAGAAAGAACGTTGATTTACACAAAGGCCTTGGAATCTACCTATGCTGTGAATTTTGAATACGTGGACCTGAGGAAAGCGCGCTGCATCGGTAAGTTGCAATTGAAAACTTTGAAAATGTTATAATTCAAGTTATTATAAATATAAAATTAAGTTCTTACAGTGTAACATAAAAATATGAGGTTGATGTCAAATACAGATAAACTGGATAAGAGAAAAATTTAATTAATTTTAATAAATTGACGTTACGTTGTTAAATCAATTTATTCTTACCGGTATTCATTCATGTGTGATCAATATCAATAACTTGCCCCTTAGTCTTAATCTCTTTTGACAGATCGTTGAAATTATCATGACCCAATTCATCTTACGGCTGAATCGCGAAAGACGTGACCTAATTGCAGTAATAAATGAATTCGGTTGTTGTCTTATCAGTGACTCAACGCGATACGAGCTGCTCAATTAAAAATACAATGCATCTTAGTAATACCCGTAGACATGTGTCTTGTGAATAACAAATGCTATTACTACATTGATGTTACGTAAATATTAAACGTTATTCAAAAACCTCTCAGTCAAAAATTCTCGTTTAAAAAGATGAAGCATTTTTTGTTAAAATTTAATTGGTACATAAGGAGATTCTATCATCATTATCGTACGATAATAATCATGGAAACTTATGTTCATTAAAATTGCGATATTGTGACATTGCAGTGTTGCGAGATCAAGAAGGGCCGATTGCCGGATGCGGAATGGTTCCAGTGGTAGTTGCGGATGCCGGGGGTAGCGGTGCCCTACATATCGCCACATCGGGCAACCATGAGTCGACCGCCTGGCGACACGCGCTTTATCAAGCAGCTACGAACTGCGGCCCTGCTTTAGACCAACAGCAGATTACGCAGGATAATGTGCCCGTCATCTTGGACAAATGTGTCAACTTCATCTATGCCCATGGTGATTAAATGAGTCATCATCTTGTATTGTTGAACGAAAATAAGATACAATTACATGTGTATTTGATAATGTTCCGTAACTAGTTGTTAAGTTACTAATATTTCCCAATTTTCAAGATAAGCTCACCCAGGAATGATAAAGAAACAAAATAATTTTCATACTTTCAACTTATTCTTTTATGTAGAATTCTTACCTATATCTCTTATATCGTCAATTACATCCTGTAATATTCCGCAATGAAATTTAAACTTGCGTTATCGCTATTATTAGACTTTATGACATTAACGAAACATCCTGTTTGATAATTGTGTTCTTCCAAAGAATTCCGATTGCATTCAATTCTGGTATCTGTAAACGAAATTATAATTCCACTGAGTCTCATGAAGTCTTATCTTTCAGGTATGATGACGGAGGGTATTTATCGTCGCAGCGGCTCGAGCAGTGCCGTAGTAAAGCTATTAGAAGCTTTTAGACGAGACGCATGGGCCACACAAATAACACGGAACTTGTATTCGGAACATGACGTTGCCACGGTTCTTAGAAGATTCCTACGGGATTTACCGGATCCCATATTCCCTCCTACTATACACGACCGGTTGTGCCTCGCTTCAGGTAGCAAACGATCCTTTCAAAATACCCCTGTGAATTCCATAAAAAAACCTTTTCACTCTATAAGTCTGTGGCTCTTTTTCTTCTCGTTTTTTCTGTATCGCTCCACAGCTGATACATAGCTTATTTGAAGATATAACGTTACAGAGCACTTTTATAATAAAATATACCCCTTAAATGATTTATACAAAAAAGACACGGTGAGATTTTAGGATTCTGATTGACAGAATATAATTTTAAAGAGAATTAATGTTAATATAATTTTGAAGCATTAATGTTGCAAAAAAAATTATTAAAAAACCCATTTTCCTTCTTATAGAATCGACTAGTGAAGAAAATAGAGTGGCGACTTATCAGAAATTATTATCCACTCTGACTCCCATAACGTCGGCGACGCTTCGCCGAATCCTAGCGCATCTTCATGGTCTCAGTCAGCAGAGCGCCAGGAATCTGATGACCGTCGAAAATCTCTCGGCAGTCTGGGGTCCGACTCTGATGCATGCCGGCGAGAACAGCGCCGAGGAGTGGAACCGGGCGGAGACCAAGGTCGTCGCTGATCTCATCAAACTGTATCCGAAACTTTATCAATTGTCGTCGGCCGACCTCGCCAAGGAAGCGAAGATGCTAGAGGTTCTGGAAAAACACGTGTCTAACAATGGACCGCGAGGTGCCCCCTCGGGAGACCTAAAAGTCTGGATATACATCTTGTCGCCGAATGGAGAGTGTGTGAACGTCACCGTAAGGATCCTTCTCCGATTCTCTGATATCCGTGATATATTCTCCGTGTTGTGCGCTCCCTTTTCGTTACAGTGTAAAGCGGAGCAGAATCAATGACTATCGACAATTTGTTATTCTGAATTACTGTTAACAATTACAATTTCGCTATAACCTTTCGTTTATTTATTTTTAATAAATTAGATCGGGCCTCAGAAGACTGCATTCGACGTGTGCCGAGAACTCGCCGAGAAAGCCAGCTTACCGTCTCACGAGCTGTGTCTAGAAGAATATACCCTGTCTGGCGCGTTGGAGCGACCGATGCATCACAACGAGCGTGTCCTGGAAACGGTGGCAAGATGGGGATACTGGGACTCGGATGACAGGAAGGATAACATCCTTGTCCTCAGGAAGGACCGGTTGTACAAGGACATCGTGCCTCTGGTACGTGCGCTAAAATAGACAAAATTCGTAGAAAGCTCACGATGCGGTGAAATAGATTGTTAGCACATTTTCCACACACGCGCGCAAAAATTATCCTACGGATTCCCACGATCTAAATTTATATGGTAGCTGGGTGGGTTCAAGGCCGTACAAAATGCACACGAGCCTTTATGCGGATCAAATTGCGCGAGAGGAGAAAAGAAAGACGCGTCCCGCGTGCGCTGCGAAAACAGGATATGGTCAAATTGAAATTAATTGTTTTCTCTCTCCCTCGCTCATTCTTCATTCCCCTCTGTATAGGTAAAGCCGCCTATGACGATCTCCGGCGAACTTAAGTTTGCGGACACCAAAACGAAAAATCTGAAGACTTACCTCTTCGAGTTCAGCCAGGCGAAACTCTATTGTTACAAGGATAAGGTCTGCTCCGTAAAACTTCATGAATGGAGGATAGAGGATATTATCTGGTACTTGGGACACGAGCCTAAACGCAATCCACAAATGGGGTAAGTATAACATCAAGTTGCACGTTACGATTTTAATAGATTTCTTGAAAGATACTCACTCTGGATACGCTTTTTTCCCCCACAGCTGGTCCATTACGTTTATCATAAAAAATAAGAAACCAACGAGGTATGTAGAAATATTACTCGTCTTCATCAATAAACATAATGATTTGTCTGTTTTAGAATTTAACGAGACGTAATCTAGTAACTTTTAATTAGACTCTTGGTAGAACAGCTGTTTAATTAATGATAACGAAAGTTAAGCTATAATAATAAAACTGTTCATTATCTTTCAGATGTAAGGAGAGCCCGTATTTCGGAAATATTTTGGCTGGCTCGTCCAAAGACGAGCAATACAGATGGTTAGCAGCTATGCTCTTCGCAGAATATCAATTAAATCTCCGACCATCAGCGGTGAATCTTATGGATCCATGACCGATTAAAGCCATTTAGTGCCTCCAAAGTGATTGATAAGTGATATTTTTCTACATAAACCATGTTACAGACTCGGAACAAATATAAATACGTACATAGTGTCGATTAACAGAACTGATTAGTTTTATGTTTTATAGTTTTTTAAAGCATAGTATCCTAACAGATACTCTGATCTCGTCTAACACACTTATGCACATGTAAATTAACTTGTCCTGTTACGAATCGATTAAATGTGGCCAGGAACCTCGTCTTAGTTACGAATCATTGATGCTGTGAGTCTACCGTTATAATTAAGTTAACAGGAACGATAATTATCGTATAATATATGACAAATTATGGAATACATGCCATTTATAAAAAATAAAATTAACGATAGATGAAATAGGCGCAATGCAATGCTTTCAAATTCATTTTCAACCTTTTCACAAATTATCTTTTGTCGCTACGTTCTTTCGCTTATGAACACACGCTGACTTATTGAGTCTTTTAAATTCATTTTTTTATTTTCTAACTTTTAAATACAGCGATTTGGTGTTAGTAAACGTTACTTCCGTCTTAAACAGTTAAACATATTTAAAAAAATCATTTATTATACCTTATATTTAATAAAGCTTTGAAATACAGTATGATATAAAATCCTCCAAGATACATCGAGAGGAACGTTAAGAAATATTAGACACCTACAATCTACTTGTGAATTAACTTAGCAATCAACTTCGATCGCGAACAGAATTAATGATCGTCCCTTTCTCTGATTCCTCTTCAACTATTTTAACTATTATCAAAATTAACAGTAATGTTTAACGCGCGTGACATCTGTCTCTTTAGCTTTGCCTTAACAAAAGTTGTTATCCAGTGCGGAAAACACATTTGTCGTTTTTGTTTTAACATCCACCCGATGCAACAACCGTGTTCTTTTTACACTTACTCTGACCCTTCGGCTTAACTTTATTCCTTCACGTCGCCTATACCGTCCGGGTTTATGGCAAATGTCGCCTCACTCTCTGGTAAACATGGCGAGTCGTATATCTTACATATCCTAGTTTCTCCCCTGCCCTTACGCAAGTACAATCTCGTTGTGCTCGAATGTGCCAGAATGTGGCCGCCGATCGGCTTTTTCTGATCGCCACCGAACATACTAGCGGCGCCGTCGACCTGCGCGACCACTTGATTCGTTATAACAACGGCGATCCCATGTTCGTCCGCCAGTCGCAGCAGCATTCTAAGGAATCTCGCGAGGTGATTTTGCCTGGCTGCCAACTCGCCCCTGCCACTGTAATCAGTCCTGTACAAACCGGTCGCGCTGTCAACCACCAGCAGGGCGTATCTCGACTCTGTCATCATAGCACTGGCTAGAAGCAACAACTGAGACTGATGATCGCTGTTGTAGGCCCTTGCACAGGCAACGTTGTCGAGGATGGACTGTCCATTGATCTTGTACCGCTCGGCCACCGCTATCAATCTTTCCGGTCGGAAAGTATTCTCCGTGTCTATGTAGAGGCACTTGCCCTCGGCGCCACCCATGCTGATCGGTAACTGACAGTTGACAGCAAGAGTGTGGCAGAGCTGGGACTTTCCGGATCTAAACTCACCAAAGATCTCCGTGATGGAGCCAGTCTCTACTCCTCCGCCCAACAGCTTGTCCAGCTCTTTGGAGCCGGTGGTGATGTAGACGATATTCGCCCGAGTCTGATGTATCTCCGTCGCGCTCTTAAAACCCATCATGACCATCTTGGACGCCTCCTGCTGCAACTTCTCCGCCTTCACCTCGCTGATACCCTTGATCGTCACGAGGTCCTTCTTGGTCGAGTAGGCCACCGACTCGACGGTGTAAAACCCGGCATCCTGCAGCTTTTTGATGTCGCCCGCGGTGATGCCATTTTTCTGCGCGGTAACAGGTAACAACGAGAGATAAAGCGAGCATGACGGAACGTGTTCGAACATGCACGAGCGCATGGAGGTTGCGCCGCCGTTGGGCGTCCCGATGGTGAATTCGCACGACGTGACTTACCTCCAGTGCCTTGACCAACTTCGCCGGGGTGCAATCGTCCAGCTCCTCCTCGTCCGCACCCACAGCCACCGTCGATGCGGTCGCCTGCATCGCCTGCATCTTGATGACGCCCGGCCCCGAAAAACACGCCTGTTCAAGGTTAACGACGTTACTTCAAACTCGAACGTGCTTTTGCGCCAAAACGTCACGTCACGTGCACTATCGTTGCGACTGCGTGTTGACCATGAAGTAAGAGTAAGGAGACGTATCTCCATAGATTGAAAGTGGTCATGAAAAATGTTCCGTATGTGGCGTGGTGGGAGTATACAATGGGGCGTTTTCCAGCAAGTTACACAGACGACCATGGTGGAAGCTTTGACTATATAATCATGGACTGCTAGTTGGCTTTTTTCGATTTAGGGCCAGTTTCACAAACGTCGGTTAACTGCTAACCGAAGGTTAACTAATCCTCTGTCTCTTCTTAGAGAACAAGATAGAAAAAGATAGGGCATTGACTGAACTCTGGTTAACAGTTAACCAACGTTTGTGGAACTGGCCCTT